CAAGCTTTTGTATTCAATTATCTTGATAAGACATTTGGTCCAATTACTTATAACAATAATATTATTTTGAAATTTACAATAGGATAAGACAATATTTGATCATATTCTCTTTCTTTTTTTTATCTAACTTGGCAAACTAATTTCGTCGAGATCATCCAACGACATAAAAACTTCGTCCAAGTATGAAAGCTCCAACCCATCATCGTCTTCCTTGTCACAAGCATGCTCATACACTCGACATGCCACCCACTTACTATATTCCTACAATAACAACAAAAAAGGCAACAAATATAAGCATTGAGAAATGAAGTAACATGTTTGACATTGAGAAGCACCGAATTATTCATGTACATTATTTGAATTATATACATACTTTTTTCGAATTTCTTTTCCTTGATGATCTACAACTGGAAGAAGAATCAGATAGCCTATATTCCTGCAATATCCAATCTGTTTTGACACCTTCTGGAGGTTCACCAATGTAAAAGGCATAATATTTCTTCATACCAATTAACTTTTGGCTTGCACTAGAATATATTGGTTCATCGATCCCTATACTCTGCCAATATCCACTATCTGTAATTCTGCTTTGTGTTCTTCTGCTGTAAAAGTACCATTTGTTGCTTTCAGCCATTGCTTTACCTGCATGCATGTTCAAACGGTTCAAGTCTTGTTGTCATCCATTTACGAAAACTATGCACGCGTTAGGCCTTAGACAAGCTAGAACAAATAGTTAAATTAGAAGAAGGATTGTATCTGATATTACCATTCAAGTCCCATGGATCATAGGGATAAAGATCAAGATCTGGAAGGACATCAGGATGGCAAGGTAAAAGCGCAACCTTTCGAAGAAGGAAATGGACTATAAGTTCTTCATCAGTTGGATAGAATCGAAAACCTGGTGGTAAGTTGAAATTGCTATCTGCCATGAAGCTCAGATAAGCTAGAGAAAAATATGTATATATTGATGGCTTTTTGAATGTGTGAAGGTGCGGTTGTGGGGGTTATGCTATTTATAGCAACAAAAAAAGGAGAGAGAAAAGGAATTGACGTGAAATTGAAGGCGTGCTTTGATCAACAGCACATCGAGATTCAAGCATTGCATTGCTCTTGTTTTTTGAAGTTTATGATATTTAACAAAGTGCCTTGTTTAATAAAACTTTGTTAAAATTTTATTAAGTTTTTAACGCGTCAAATTTCAATTTTAACTATGCATTTTATGGGGTTTACAATTTTTTATTAATTTTTCAACCACATATTT